CTTTCTCCTTGTGCTAACAATGTGTGTGCATAGGTAGGTGAAGGAACAAGGGTAGGAATGAATGGCTGAGGGAAGGGAGAAGATAGAAACAACTTTTTCTGTGATAGCACCAGTACATACCAGTATAAAATGATGGTGAAATAGTGCATGAGTCATTCAACTGATGTGGAATACCAAAAAAATGTGACTCTTTGTGCTTTTGCCAAGATGTGAATGCACCTACCCACTAGTGATTAAACAAAAAATTATTTTAAAACTCTTAAATTCTTTACGTCAATATAAATTCCATCATGGGTTTGTTATGGCTGGCTTTTACTTTCAAATTGATTTAATCAGTGTGGTGTCCATTTGCAAAGGAAAGAGTGTTTTTAGTAGAAGTTGAAGTGAATCATTTTTAAAGGTTGCATAGTGGGCATTCCCCTATTTTCTCAGTAAGGCAATAAATGAAATCAGGCGAGTTTTTTAAAATTCCCTTTTCTTTTGTGCATGGTGTGGAACAGGATATCCCTGGAACCACCTCTGGGCCTGTGCTGTGCTGTGTCTGTTGCTGCTGTGGGAAGGAGTGTTCATGCAATGCACAGGCTGCTGGGGGAAGTCCTGCAGTGAGGTAACAGCCTTGCTGTATTGCACTACTTTTCTGCGGCTCCTGAGAGATAAGAGGGTCATGTCAATAAGCCATGTGAAATGTGGTTTTGAAGTTTTGTCCTTTCAGTTTGAGTCATGTTTCCGAGGCTGGGAAAATGGACTTTTCTTTGGAAATTTTGTGAGATGACCCCGGTCAGAACAAGTTAGAAATCAGTGTAAGGTTTGTTGTGTTTGTCTTGGTGCTCCTACCTGGAGAGAGAGAGAAATGTGTTTTGCTGCTTGTTGGCTTATTGAAGGGATTCATCAGAAGTGCCCTTTGTCCTGTTGAGCAGGACGTTACCTTGTAAATTCTCCAGTGGCACATGCAGGGCTGTGTGTAGATCATACCTTGCATTCTCCGTTTGGAATCACAGAATACGCTCAGTTGGAAGGGACTCACAAGGATCATCAAGTCCAACTCATGGCCCTGCACAGGGCCATCCCCAAGAGTCACATCATGTGCCTAAGAGTATTGCCCAAACACTTCTCAACCTCTGCCAGGCTTGGAGCTGTGACCACTTCCCTGGGGAACCTATTCCAGTGCCCAAGCACCCTGGAAGGGGAAACCTGTGCAAATAACTTGCTTCTTTTTGCCTAAACCAACTTTCACATCATCATTGTACTGCATTGATGGTCATCATGTCTGGCTTCTCTTGATCAGCTGTACCCTAACTGCAGCTGTGCTTTACTTCATTTACTTCTTAAAAAGAAAGTGTTCAGTTTCTTTGAACAGTTAGCTATTGAGGGAGATATCTTTAGAGAACTGTGAATGAAACATCTCTTTATTATTGTGGCTGAAGTAAGATCTGCATAAAATCCAGACAATTCCCAATCTTTGAAAGATCAGCATCCTTTGAATTGTCTATTTTCTCTCTTCATGGTGAGTTGATCTTGGTTGGACACCAAGTGCCCACCAAGCTATTCTATCACTCCTCTCCTTGACAGGGCAGTAGAGGGAGAAAATGAGATGGAAAAAACCTCAAACATCAGGATAAATACAGTTTATTAAAGCAAAAGCAAAGCCCACATGCAGAAGCAAAGAAAACCAAAAGATTTATTCTGTTCTTCCCATTAAGATGTGATGTTCAGCCACTTCCTGTTACGTAGGGCCTCACTATTCATAGCAGTTGCTCCATAAAATAAAGGTAGTAATAACAAATGCTCCCCCCCACCTCTTTTTTCCTCTGAGCTTTTATTCTGAGCGGCTGTTGTGTGGATGGAATATCCCTTAGGTCAGGTTGAGTCAGCTGTCTTGGCTATGTGGTGTCCCAAGATTTTGCCCACTCCCAGCCTACTAGTGAGAGAGAATGTTGGAGAGACAGCCTTGATGCTCTGCAAGCACTGCTCAGCAGTAGCCAAAACACCGGTGTGTTACCAACCCCTTTCCAGCTACCAGTGCAGGGCACAGCACTGTGACATCTGCTATGGGGAAAATTGACTCCATCTCAGCCAGACTCAATACACTCCTACAGTGTAAGTCTATGGGTGTTAGAATAACCCTTTGTACTATGTCCAGATGAGGTAGCCTGCTGCTTATTCCCAGTCTTTTCCCTTTTCCTTCCCTGTGTCCAGAGGATGAGAAATACGGAACTCAAAACCTGTCTCTCAGGGGAGGAGACCTGAATCTTTTCTGTCATTCTTCATGTATTTTTTTTTCTAGAAAAGGAAAGAAGCACTATTGTGTGTTGCTGGGAATTATGGATTGTGAGGAGAAAATGAGCCGACCCTTGGGATTTTTAGTTTGTCTGAGGCTTTTCACTGGAGTCTTGTGTATTTGGTGACGTTAATTAAACTTGGCCATTTGTCTTCTGTGCTTTCTCTGCTGTTAACTCCTCATCTCCTTGTGTGGATAAGTCTTCTGTACCAGCAGCCTTCTTCCCTGTTTTGCACAGTTTACTTGTAGAAGATGGAAAATAATTGAACTGATCTGGGAGGCTGGCAGGGGCATACTGTCTGTCAGGCATCTGTTGAGAATGGTCTAGGACACATGGACAGGAGGAGAAGTGGCCAAACCATTGACAGTGGAAAAGCTTGCAGCATCTCCCCAGCTCCAGAAGCAAATCCCAGAGAGCCAGGAACTGGCTTTCTGAGGAGCACTGAGCCTATCGTGATGCCGCTCAGCAGGACCCTTCTGGCAGCCCTGCTCCATCTGACCTGCTGGGAGAGGGGAGGGAGCCAAGCGAAGAGTGGGCAGAGGAGAGCACAGACCCACCAAACTCCTCTGCTGCTTCCCCAACTCCTGCTGTAGTGTTCCCTCAACAAAGCAGTCTGCTCTGCCCATCAGGGAAAACCCACCCTTTCAGAAACCGCTCTATAACTTGTTGCTTTAAATAAAATACCACTTTAAAATTCTCCACAAAGTGCTTATTTTGTATGGAACTGAGCCCACAAAGACAAGATTACTTGTACAGTATGCTTCACAAAAATGTCTACTTGACTGTAACTATTTTACTTCAAATAATATTGCCATTTGTTGGCATTGGGAAAATAACACTCTATTGGAGTATATACCACGTTTTTCATCTGCTTCCACTTTCTTTTGCCTTTTCCATTTTCACTTCTTTGTCTCAGAGCTCTTCTATTTTACCTTCATTTGGTCTGCATGTGTTTTGCTTCTTTTCATCTTTCACATTTCAGACAGCCATCCAGTATTGCAGTGATGACTCACCGATTTTGAACCATAGGAAGTCCCCTGGATGGCATAAGCCCAGAAGGAATCCATGTTGTTTGGTTTTGCACTTGTTTCTCCCCCTCCAGCCCTTTGCTAGTGACTTCTTTCTGTGTCTTGGTGTCCCTGTCAGATGGCAATGAGAATATTTATTCATCTATAGAAAATACATTGAGATTGAGGCAGGGAGCAGGGAAAACACTTCACAAGTGCCAACAATTTATTTTTGTTGGAGATGATAATTTCCTTGCCCAGCTTTTTATACTTTCTCAATAATGACATTTATTTAAGCCACGGAGAAATGAAAGATCACATAAAAGGCGATTGATTCCTATGGTGCTAGACTGAGCTCTGTGTTGTCTCTGTTCTCATCGTTGTGCTTTTGATTAGCATGCCTCTTTTCACCTGGAAATTACTCCTGAAACTTTAACATCTGAGTGAGGCATCCTTATCTCACTTGGTTGGTTTGTACTCTTAATACAAATGACCCTTTTCCTAGTATAATTTGTCATAAGCATTCCAACTAAATTTGAAGTTGGTGATCATTTGTTAGTGCCTGACAGCAGTGTATTTTCTGGACAAATAAATTCTTTCATTTCTTTCTCTGAGGAAGAATGTATATGCTGTATATGTTTTTGTTTGTGTGCTGAGGGGATGTTTTTTATTTAGACATATGTTGCCATATGGCTGTGTGGGAGAAGGCAAGATTAGAAGAGTACTTCTTGAATACTGAGTAGAAGGCATGAAATATGAATTGTTTTGAGTTCCTATGAAAGTTAATTTATAGCCTTGGTCTGTGAAAGCTCTGTCAGCGGGGGATAAATAAGTCTTACTTGTTACTAGAAAGGTAATTTATGAAACTAAGTCACTGCCCACCAGGATGGTGCAGAGTTCTTGTGCCTATTAAAAACAGTCAGAAGGAAGAAGTAGAAATCTTATGCAAGTGTCTGCAAAAAACCACTCAATCTTTCCTCAAAAATTAAGGGAGAAATTCTTTTATTCCTATTTATTATAGCTTTGTAGTCTGTTCTTCTACTGTGGGCTCTCAAACCTAAAGCAGTTGTGTTTTTCCTTCTGTTGGAAAAGCATTCTGTTGGATGGATGCTGCTGTTTTGCTCAATCACTGCATTACATTTCTGACCTAATAAGAAAGTACATTCTTGTGTTAGTCTTAAAGCCATGTGTTACTCACAGATCGACTGCTGTCTTTCTAAATGAATGTTTATTTAAATATTGACTGGCATTCAGAGATTTCAGAATTCTTCCAGAGAACCTGAGTATGATGCTTACCTTACATTTGGAAATGTTAAGACCTAGTAGTAGTGTCACTGTCTACTGGTTTGTACGGTTGCTTTGTTTTGCAGCTATTGCATGACAGTGACTATAGCATGTATCTTTACGGAAGTGTGCACTTCAGGTTATAATATTGAAAATCTGGATGACTGTAAAGTTTTGAATTTTGGTTGTAATGTAATTTAAAGTTGTATTGGAAGTATCTACTGTAACATGGCTTTAAAGATGTTTTGGTTGTGGGTTTTTTTGGTGTGGTTGTTATAGGAAATATGCAAGTAATGATGCGAAGTGTAGCCAATGATGTAAAAGTGAGAGACTTGGGCTTTGTTTCTTTTTTTAATAAAAAGTGAATGAAATTTCTTTCTGTTAAACTCAACATAATATCCCCCTGTGAGTATTTATTTATTTATTTCAGGAATTTGAGGCCTTTCAAACATTTGTGGAAAATCGACTTCCGTTTGATATTGTTATTGATGGACTCAATGTTTCCCACATAAAACCCAGAAGGATGCATTGTGAAAATGTAAGTGCTGTTAAATATTCATTAAGAATTTTGTGTATGCTGATTGTAAAACAATGAGTGCCTCATTATTAGTTATTCTCTAGAGAAACTGATCAAACGTTTTTGTAGCATGTGTTACAATGAAGTTCAAAGAATCATCTAAGTTTCACACATTAAAAATGATTAGTGGGAAGATAGTTCTTCTCACATATTTGACTGTATTATCTGTAAAATGTGGTACCCAAATTTCCTCATGTATGCAATGGTTATAATTACAGCAAAGGTATCGATAATAACATTATTAGGACATACACTGTGTCAGTGTGTAAGTTTTTGTAGTAATAGGGATTTGTGGGAACAGAGTAAAACTGCCATATAGAAAATTTAGTCTAATATAGTTATGCTGGTAAGAGTTGTTCTTAAAATAACCCCTTACTTTGTTCAAACCACATCCTGTACACATTTAAACTTTATTTCAATTCCTGTTGTCTTGAGAATTTGAGCCTTGTTAGTACAAGGACGTACCATCAAACTGGCTTCAGTTCTTTCCACTTGATGATTTGTAGAAGAAAAATCCTGCTTTTTTGTCAGTATCTTTGAGAATTCTTGGTACTCCCCTGTAGCATTTCACTATGAATTGGCTTAACATTATTTGGGTTTATTTGTTAATCAAATATTTACTTTACATTAGGAGTAAAAAAGTAGCTGCTCACATGTATTCAAAAACCAGAATTTAAATTTTCACGCTCTTGAAATTAAAATTAAGTTGTAAATGAACTTGATAATAAAGGAAGAAATACACTTGTAGCAATTACAAGAAATACATTTTTCTTCTAAGAACTACTTTAAAGCTGTTCTTAGGAAGTAGTATATGCTTATCTGTAGATAAAAGTGAGCTAGGGAGGCTAGATAAACTTACTGAAAGAGGTTTGTTTGAGAGTGCCAGTGAAGTTTCATGAGATACTGTCTCACAAAGAGGATACTTTCTTTACCATGGGAAAAAAAAAAGTTTACAAGTTGTTTGTGTGGAATCAGGAAGTGTTGATTATCTGAGAAGAATTCCAGACAGAATGTAATGCCACAATGTTTTAAGATCTGGAAAGACAGATCTATGCTGCCAAAGATGAGGAAGAGAAATGCCTCTCCCACTGTGGGAACTCTGAACAGGATTCTCAGTGGTCTGTAAAGCTGGAGGCAGTGGAGCAAAGAGCCAGCCTGGTTTTGGCGGATAATTACTCCTGATTTCTGATCAGACATCTTACTAGGACATATTACCGTGCTGAGCAGCATAAATTGCCTTTGAGTTTCTCCTTAGCTTCTGCTGTATTGGAAGGACTTCGGGATCCATGATGCCAAAGAGATCCAGAAGGACTGTACAAAGGCATCAACTTTCCATTTAGGTTGTTCCTAAATAGGTACAGGCCAGATCTTTCCTGAATCCCAGCTGTTTACAGATTAGGAGGACTTTTAGGAAGACCTGCCTTTTCTTTCCTAAACAACAGAACAGTCCCTTGGGCTCACCACAGCTTATCTCCAGAGGAAGGTTCTCCTAGCTAAAATCTACTTGTCGTATGAGTTATGTTGCTGTTAATTATTATTGCATTTTGTCGTGCACAAAAAGTGTTAATCATTGGAGCTTCCACCAGCCAATCTTGCTCCTGTTTTCTGGATCCTGTTATTGAGAGTGTGGAGTCATTACATGAGATAGAATGGACATGCCCATTATTCCTGCCACAGACCTGTAGATACTGACTAGCTGAATAGTACCTATTTTGGCATGGGAAGTCTGTATTGCAACAAAATAGCTCCTTCACTGCTGAAAGAAATAATCTTCTAGACACATGGACTGCTAAAGACTTCTTCCCTTTTTATTGACCCTCCAAATTAACTGAGACACCATCTTTATACACTTCCAGTGTTAACTATCGAGTTTATAGTTTTTTCCAACTGGAAACATTGTTTAAATGTGAGATCATGCTGGATGCTAGTAGATCCTGTTTTATATCTTCATGACTCTCAACTCCTGTGTTGTAACATGTCAGGAAAGGACTGTGTCTTAGTTCTTATTTTGGATACTTCTGACAAGAAGTATGTATTCTTGTTTTCTTACTGTTTTTTTTCAAGACTGCTAAAAACAGAAAAAACCCACAAAGCAGAGCAATCCTTTCTTCTGTCTCCAAACTTTTCTTTCAGATGAGGGAAGGGAAGGCCACAGGAATCTGTTGCTTTTCTGGTTGCTTGTGTTGCTGCCAAGTAGTCCCTCATCTGTGAATGCTGACCTCCCTGAATGCTGTAGTCTGTCCTTTGAGGGCTGACTCTGCCACAAAACATCCTCTTGTGGAGGCTCCTACCCTCACACCAGCGACAGCTGAATGGAAAATGTGGAGTGGCAGATTTGAGGCATTTACAGCCTGCCTTAATAAGTTCTTCAATGTATATAGGGAAACATAGTGCAGAACTGAGAAGATGGAGAGGAGAAATAATGCAAGAGAAGTGGGAGGCAAGCAGAAAGTATGGAAAAAGCCAAGAGTGAAGGCTGCTGAGGTCAGGCTGGCTGGCTAGGACAGCATGACAGGCCCATTTTGAAGAAAAAGTTTGTGCTGTGACCTCTTCAGTTCATCTGGAGAGGTAATACAGGAGCCATGTTTCCAAGGACCTCTGTTAAAGCTGCCCAGCCTGTGTTTTGCTTGTCAAAAAACGAAATTATTCTGAGTCTCCAGATGGGAGTATGCTTTTCAAGGGTTCATTCTTGCAGCTGTTAGACTCAGTCAGGATATTGTTTCATCAACTTTTCTTTTACAGTATATAGTTGGTAAAGGGAAAATCAGATTGTTGCTCTGTTTCTAACACACTGTAAGCATTAGTACTTGGAAGGTTTTAGTTTCTTTGGAACACATTCCTTATGTGATTTAGAGACCATGGCAAAATAAAGGGCATTATTAAACACAGGAGAAAGCCTAAGATTTTTGTGACAAAACCATGGTAATTTAAATGCATTCTGGTCTTTATTTAAATTTAACAAAAAGTACTGTTCAGCTTGGTGATTTAGCTTTCAGAACTGCAGCTGTTTTGCTGAAGACCAGCTCGAGCTAACTTAGTCATATGATTGAAATAAGAAAACACTGATAAAATATTCCTCTTTTCCAAACAGCCTAACATTTTTAATTCCATTTAGGCGTTCCTTAGGCATCTTGGAAAAGGGCTGGATTGTGTGAACAAGGCACAGATACCTTGGGGGATGAGAAGAGACGAAAAGAAAGCAGAAGTTGAAGGAATGATTTTTACACGTTTAATTCCCAAAGTGTTCTGACATTCTAGAAAACTAGGTATGTGACTTCCAGTAGCCCCAGGAAACTTCAGTCCTCACATCCAGCACTTACTTAGCAGATCATCCTGAATATTATTGATTTAGCAGATTTACAGGAACATCCTGTGGCAGTTTCTCTGGTATATGACACTGTTGGTTTGTAATTACAATCCCCCTTTTTTCGAGGTTGGTTTTATACTAGGTCTGTTTCCTGGTAGAAATCAGCATGTGACTGCATCAATTACTGAAAAAAAAAAAAAGGAGGCAGCCTGAGGGTGGGAACAAAGATTTTTTGAGGACTAGGGAGTGGTGAGACCATCTGATTTGAAGGCACTGCACACGCAGTGACTGTAAAACTGCAACACTGGACATCAGCTGGCACCTCTTTTCAATGCTTCGCAGCCTTACTGCAGCATTTTAAATTAGACATTAAAGTTGACTTCTAATTAAAAGATATTATAGAATGGCAATTATTTTTGCTACATAATCCAGACCATAGAAAAAAACCCCAAACCTCCCATAAAGTCCAAAATCATTCAGTCTTGTCTTCTGCTCCTGTTTAAGACTGTACCTGATGCGTATTTGCCTGAATGAGTCAGTCACTGTTTATACTGCAAACATGTAGTTTGTAGAGATATCCTTGCAGTTTAACTAAGCACAGTTGATTCAGGCTGTGTTTTTAGGCATTGGCACCTTTCCTCCAGATGTATCTAATTACATAAATCCTTACCCAGCACAATGAGATTTGGTACTCTCTGTCCTCTGCTGCTGTAACTCTCCATAGTGCCCTCACCTTTCACCTTGTAAAGGTCAAGAGAAGGAATTTCCACACACTAATTTTCCATTTCTCTTACTAAATAAACTGTTACATAATTGTTAAATGGATTTTTTCCTGTTTATCATGATTTTCTGCGGAAGTGTTCTTTGGAAGTGAGAGGGAATCCCAGTGCAAGCAGGATGTCTGGGCTCTAAATATCTCGTTTTGGTTGCGGGAGGGGAGTGAAGAGACTACAATGAACTCTGCTCAGCTACCCCTAGACTGTGAAGGACCAGGGTGGGAGGTGTGAGAGAACATGATCAGCAAGAACAGTTTAAAGAGTACTTTGCTATTTTTAATTTATATTGAGTTTGGAATATTGTAAATTAAGTATGCAGCCAGCTCCTTTTTTAGCTGTGCGCATCTGGTGTTAGATGTAACTGAATATACATTTCAAATGTGTGTTGGATCAAAGCTAACTCACAATTCCTTTCTTCAAACAGTTTGGCAGTTGGGGTCAGCTCTGCCCTAACTTCACCCTCTCTAATCTCTATATTAAACTCAGACATCTAAAAGATTGGTAAAATGGTTCCAGATTGAGTTCCTTAAGACTGACAATGCACAAAGGAATACTTTTTGCTCTTGGTGGGTAGTTCAAAGTGGTTGCTCCTAAACTTAATCAGCACTTCTATAAATGGACTACATAAGTTCATGTAATTCCCATGTAAATTGCAGTAGGCCTGTACAACAGCTGAAGAAGCCAGATCCTTGCTGTTCCACTCCTTTCCCATCCCAGTCTGGTGGCAGCAGCTGGCATGCCACCCCTACCACATCTCTGGCCTGAAGCAGCAGTCAGCTCCTGCCAGGAAAGGCACCACACCTGCCCTCCTGCACCTCTCACAGGCTGCCACAAAAAGCCAGGCTGTGACTGCTGTTATTGGGCGTGATCTGTGGCAG